TGAATAAGAAAAAAAGAGGGGTTGCAATCATTTTCAATAGAGATATAAAGCTGGAAATTATACATATCGAATTAGATCCGGAAGCCTGATTTATAACAATGATCTGTGCTATTGATAATAGGATTTTTACACTGGTTAACGTTTATCTCCCTAATGTAGATCCTATGTCTAAATTTACGACAATAATGGAGAGAGTTGCCAAGGTCTGCAAGGGACATGTAATTGTTGCTGGTGATTTAACTGTGTGAGTGATCCAAAACTAGATAAGATGCATATATCTTCAATCACAATTGACAAAAGAACTATAAAGCAGGCTAAAAAATTAAATAGTATCTGCAAACAATATAATCTCCATGATATATGGAGATTATTACATCCATTGGAAAGAGATTACTCACACCAATCCTGTGCACATGGTTCATATGCACGGATTGATTTTTGTTTACTTGATGCTAACTCGATATCTTTGTGTAATTCTATAAAAACTAGAAAAGCTACAATTTCTGGGGAAATTGTGTGAAGTGTTCTTGCCTCCACCAGTAGTCTACAACTGGAGTGGGCGGAGTAACTGTTATCATTTATATAGCACATTTAATTGCAACGTTGTTGCACAGTTACATTAAACCATACATTTATAAAAACATTAGCAGGTGTTCAAAAGGCCCTGTCCATCACTTGCTGCTGCAGCCTGCACAGGTCAGAGTATTTTGGCGGTTGCCATCTTCAAACGGTCGCATTCGTTTTTGGTAAATTTTGGTCTATGTAGTGTAAAAACTGTGGGAGGAGTTAGGGTGGCAAATTTGGCTATAATAATAATAATAATATATATGTGAGATAACATTAAGTGGTCTTGCTATGCAAGAACACTTAATAATAATAATAATATATATGTGAGATAACATTAAGTGGTCTTGCTATGCAAGAACACTTAAATATATATGTGAGATAACATTAAGTGGTCTTGCTATGCAAGAACACTTAATTAAAGAGAGTTTATGGTCAGATCATAGTTTCATATTAATTGAGCTTGGAAATAAACCACCTAGGACTCGTAATACTTGGAGAATGAATGATGCTCTTATCAATGACCCTAAGATTAGGGAGGAATTAACTCAGTCACTAAAATATTTTTGGTTGGAAAATAGTCCCACTGATACATCGCCAGCTAATAACTGGTGTACACATAAATCGGTTATGCGAGGGTATATAATTAAATTAGAACATATAATGAGACGAAAGAGTGGTAAGCCTTTAGCCGATTTGTGTATTGAATTTTATGATATATCAAATTTAAACAAACAGAATCCGTCTGCAGAATTAAGAGCCCGATTAAATGCTATACAAAGCCAAATTAATTTAAAGGTTGAACAAAAAATTAAATTAAATATCTATAAATGAAAATTAAAGAACTATAACACAGGCAATAGAGCAAATAAAAACTTGACCAAAAGACTGCAAAATCAGCACGCTAAAAATAGAGTGGAACAATTGATAGACGGCAATAAAGTCTCTTTAACCCCTTCTCAAATAGGGGAGAAATTTAATCAATACTATGAAGATTTATATAATCTCAAAATGTCTCCTAATTTAATGGACATTCAAAATTATTTAACCAACAAGAAGATTCCAAAAGTTTCATGTCAGGATTTATTAACGTTAAATAAAATTATTGCCCCAGAGGAAGTACAATTCCAAATAAATAGATTACCAGCAAATAAAACACCAGACGCTGATGGTTTTTCCAATTCATATTATAAGCATATGCAGTCTTTACTGATAACCCCTTTAACAGAAATGTCTAATCAGATAGCACTAAATGAATCTTTCCCATCTGAATTATTACAAGCCAATCTTATTCCAATATTGAAACAAAATAAGAATAGCTCAGACCCTAGTAGCTATAGACCTATAGCATTAATTAACGTGGATATGAAACTATATTCCGCGATTATTGCTGAGAGAATTAAGATTATTATTTCGGGTCTGATTCACTCAGACCAAATTGGCTTTGTCCCGGGCAGATTGGCTTCTAATAATATTAGAAGAATAATAGATATTGTAGATATGACTAATAGAGATGGGTTTCCCCTCCTGGCCCTGTCTTTGGACTCTGAAAAAGCGTTTGACAGGGTCGGTTGGGGTTACTTGAGTGAGGTCTTGAAGGCCTTTGGGTTCACGGGCTGGATATATAATGCAATATTGGCTTTGTATTCTTATCCCACGGTTAGAACTGTAGGCCCAAATATAACTGCGGGCTGGTTTGAACTTAAAAATGGAACGCGTCAAGGATGTCCCCTTTCTCCTTTGCTCTATATTCCATCCCTTGAGCCATTGGCTATAAATATAAGGAATAATTAGTTGATTAAAGGTATACATACGAAAGTTGCGGATATTAAACTTTCATTATATGCGGATGATGCGTAAATTACTCTTACATCCCCAGAAGCTTCTTTATCCTCCTTGATGCGTGAAATTGATAAATATTCAAGTGTCTCAAATTTTAAGCTAAATATTACCAAATCTACAGCATTATTTTTGAATATGAGTAAAGATCAGATAAACATATTATCTCAGATATACAAATTTATATGGACAGATAAAGAAATAAACTACTTAGGTTTAGTTATAACCTCTAATGTTTCTAGTATTATGGGGAGGAATGTTTGGATTCTTATGAAAGATATGAATATTAAATTAAAAAAAATTGAAAAATCTGGAAACTTCTTGGCAAGGCAAAATAAATACTATCAACGCATATATTCTTCCTAAGTGGTTATATCTCTTTTCAATGGTCCCATTAAAGGTCCCAAGACCCTGGCTAGCAATGGTCCAATCAAGCTTTAATAATTTCATCTGGAATAATAAGAAACCTAGAATCAGTCAGAAAATGTTGAATAAAAAAATTGACTAATGGTGGATTAAATTTCCCTAGAATTATCTACAGTTATTACGCAAATATTATTAGGCATATATATATTTTACAGGACCCTAATTCGGCTTCCGAATCATGGTTCATTATTGAATCTGAATGGGCCCATAATCAAAAATTACAATACTCTATGTGGACAATTACTAGGCCCATTCCAATGAATTCCTCTTCAACTAATTTATTTACATTATCTCATACTTTGGAAGAATGGTTAGAAATTAAAAAAAAAAATGGGACTTAATAATAATAATTTTATACCCAAATCGTGTAGACTTGATATATTGGAAATAATTATAGAAGATTTCTCGCTAAAGAATTGGGTAAATGTTGAAAATTTAAAGATCATAGATATAATGCAGGGCGATAACGTTATGCCTTTTCAATCCATTATAGATACTCTCCATATACCTCGGAGAGAAATCTTCACCTATCTTTGTTTGAAACATTTTATTCATAAAAATGTTATTAATTCTTCTTTTCGTTTTGCCAAAAAAATAGAATATATATTTAGTAATTGCTCTATTAAAAAGGTTACATCTGTTGCAGCCTCTATGCTGGAAGGTCTTAAAGATCTCCCCCATAAGGTGATAAAAGTCTGGGAACAGGAATTAGAATTGGGGATTCATTTGGAAGACTGGAATGCTTCTTTGAGTCATGTAAACAAATATATTCATTGCTTAAATTTGTCTGAATGCCACTTTAAACTTCTTTATAGATGGTACTACACTCCGACTAGATTAGCTAGAATGTATGGATCCTATGACCCAGTATGGTGGAGATGCGGCAGTCATATAGGAACATATATTCATACATGGTGGTCATGTCCTGTGGTCCAAAACCTATGGATTTGGGCCTTTAAATCTTTATGACTTTGACTGATAATAGCATTCCGGAAAATGCTGTATCTGCTTTGTTGCATCTTAACCTGAATTTTACACAAAAAGATACTTGTTTTGCTATTCATTGTTTAGTTGCTACTAAAATTATCATTGCAAGACACTGGAAATCTTCAAAGCCGTTTCAGAAAGGGATTCTGATTAACCAAATCATGTTCCAAATCTCAATGGAATATGATTTGATTAAATATTCTTCATTCAAATCGAGGAAAAAAGAATGGTATTATGAATGGTTAGAAAAATACAAGGGTATATATGGAAACACTTCCTCTGATATAGATTCTTTTTATTAAACTAATATTGGACATATTTAACTACAATTGATTACTGCACAAAATTGTTGTGATTAACACAGGAATTATAAAGTGGTACTAAAACCTGAATGGAAAGTATTAAGAGAAACACTAATATGGACACATAGGATTGAGCAGTAAGGCTGCATTGGGCATGTTCTATACACCAAAACTGCTTCATGAAGCTAAAGTTGTTCAGGTGACTATAGTGTCCCTTTAAGATGAAATGCTAACAAACAAATTTATGATACCACATTTATCCCAACTTCCTTACTCATTCATTGCATGTACTTGTTACCAATGGTCACTATTGTATGTCTCTGTGTTTTCTTTATGTGTGCTTCAATAAAAACATTGATTGACAAAATCACACTGAGCATTGTGATGTTGCCAGGGGGTACAAGGCACCATAACCACAACACTGACATGAAACGATGCCTAAAGTTCCTTTAAGGAAAACATTTAGTTACTAGGTATATAAAAGATACATTGGTGATAATGAGCATGTGGGCATGGATGCAGAGGTTTGGAGAGTTTATAAGTACAATTTATGCAATTAAGTTTTTTGCATAAACTGTAATTATTATTCACATTTCTGTTTTAACTTTTAATTTAAAAAAATATGGTCACCATAAAAATATTGCCTATAACTTACTACAACAATCACTGTTCACATCTAAGTAAAACCTGTTTTAAAAGGCAGGTCCAATTAATCAGCACATTGTTTGTAAGGTCAAAGCCGTGGAAAATAGCTGGGAAAAGCAACATACACATGTGATCGAAGCCGCCGGACAAAAATAAGCCAACCGTAGGATGCTATGCAGAAACGCGAAGGCGACGTTAACTGACTGTATACCAGCGTTGGGCTATAGTTGTCCCTCGAGACTTTAAAAATGACTATTGTGTTGCAGACGCTTCGATCCGCCATCTTTGTACAGGGAAATGGAGGAGAAGGGGTTTTCAGATATAGACGGAGCGACAATCCTGCTCAAACAGCATTCTTACAGTCAGACATGCAAGGAGTTTAATGTAATTTGCCCCAAATTGTCCTTGCGGTCCCTTACAACCGCAACATGTGCAGTGTGGGTTGCAGCCTACGCCATCTTCGCGTACACAGAGGTGAGATGAATGGCTACAGGTATAACACACGGCATGTGTACTGCCTCTACCTTTTATATGATAAGCTGAGCAACCAAAACATGTTCATGGAGGGAAGGGGGAACAATTATCACCAACTAGCAAAAACATGCAAAATGTGGAATACAAACATGTAAAAAAAAAATAAAAAATGTCCATTGTAGGTATTGATGGCAGTACAGGAAAAGTGCTGCCGTGCAGAATGTAACTTTCAAATGGGGAATCAGTCAGCAGGTGTCCTAAATCGTGAGAATATAGCACAAACTTCAGGGCACCACCTTTCATTGGCTGACACTCAGCATGGAAAGTTGGGAGAGAGGATGAAAACACAGTGGTTGTGGTAACCTAAGTGTTTGGGTTTCTACAAGAAATTAAGCTGTGATAGGATTCAGTAATATCAGTCTTTTCATGAAACCTGGCAAGTTCTTGTACACAGGACAGAGAACAGTGCAGGGCACACTCTGTGCTATAGTTGTATTGCAACATTTGGAAAATGTAATTAAACACATACTCAAAGAGATACATGCACAATGACAATAATATAATAAATAAAAAAGACAGTTTTGCCACCCACCTGTTTCATACCTTTCATTTGAAAACAAAGGTATTTACCACTCTGGTTGGTCCACATGGTGATCACACAGCTTGGAAACCTGTGGATCACTCTTATTAGTATCTTTTAAATGTATGTACTTTAGTTTGAGGTTTTGGAGGCAGCTAGTTAAAACACATGTTTGTGTTCCTGACCCTATAGTTTTCCTTTGTTTCATAGGTTCTAACAGTTCCAAATTCACTGAGACGCTCCCACATTTTGGGGTATTTTCCCAACCACAATGGGTCCCAGCACTGGCGGAACTAATGTAGAAAGAGCCCTGGTGTAAGAAAATTTTTTGGGCCCCCCTCTAGCGCAAGGATAGCGAATGGATAGATCCCCGGTAAAAGTGTATTTTAGCATACTATATTATTAATAGAGATGTCGCGAACGGTTCGCGGCGAACTCCGGTCAGCTGACACATCCCGGCCAATCTCCAGCAGACCCCCCCCTCCCAGACCCTCCCACCTCCTGGACAGCATCCATGTTGAAGCTGCCTTCAACATGGATGCTGTCCAGGAAGTAGGAGTGTCTGGGAGGGAGGGTCAGCTGGAGATTGGCCGGGATGTGTCAGCTGACCGGAGAACCCTTTGCGAGAAGTTCGCGGACGGTTCGCGACATCTCTAATTATTAACCGTTTTGTCCAGGTGTATCTTATTTTTTGCCGGAATTAGCAATTGATCTAAAAATAGATAATCTGCTATGCGGGAAAAGACTAAAAATAGTCTGCTTTGAGGTAAAAGACTACATATAGATTGTCAGCGATGCAGGAAAAGACGGGAAAACAGTTAAATGACAAACGTAATAGTTGATAATATTTAATTTATCTAAGTATGGTGGCAGGAAAACCGTTGGTTTTAAGAATGACAATTGTACACCCAGGTGAAGTTATGCAACCAGCCGACATTACAAGCAAGATTTGGAGGCTATTATCTGTTAGCGTACCATTTCGCAAATCCGGACACTGCCATGATATGGTTAGCTACGAGGCGTCTACTCGCTAACACCATGGACTGCGGCAATTGTAATCTGCCAGCTGCTGACGTACAACCAAGGTTTAGATGGAGTGAGATGGAAGTGCCAAACATGTGGATTTGTTAAAAGCATCAGAGCAGGTTCGTTCGTTACGCAGAGTTATCTGTCTCTGAAACAAATCACAATAATGATGTATTGCTTTGCACAGGATATGCCACAAAATCTGACACAACATGAAGCCGAGATTGAAGAGCAGACAACTGTCGTTGATTGGTTCAATTTTTTGAGGGAGGAGATTAGTAATTATTTAGATCGTCATGCTACTGAGCTGGGAGGCTTGGATGACAACGGTGAACCCATAGTGGTGGAATTAGACGAATCCAAATATTTCCAAAGCATATACCACAGGGGTGCTTGGAGGGACGGCCACTGGCTCTTTGGTGGAATCAAAAGCATGTCTGGTCGATGTTTTTTGTTGGAAGTTCCAGATCGGACAGCTGCAACCTTGGAGCAACTCATCTTTGATCATATCTTACCTGGAACCAATATCATTTCTGACGGGTGGGCGGCATACCGGAACATCGATTAACTCAAGGATGGAATTTATACGCACTCAGTAGTGGTCCATGAACGCAACTTCGTCGATCCACAGGACTCACAAGTGCATACGCAGAATATTGAGAACTCATAGATGTGCACAAACTAAAGGTTCAATTCGGAACGAGTCGTGCGTTGTTTCCTTCGTATTTGGGAATTTGAGTTTTGCTTGTCTGTTGAGAAAGAAAATGTTTCCCGTGATTTTGAGTTTGGGAAACAAAATGTTTTTGGTTGCTTAATGCTTGTCATTGCTAAGAATTATCCAGTTTAATGCTTGACGGGATGGTTGTGTACCATAGGATGGACTCAGTTACTGTTGTTAAGAATTCTCGTTATGCATGTTGCCATTGGAATGCATTGTGTACTTGTGTGTAGTATTTGCTATTGAAGGAGTGTGTTTGTATGTAATATTTGCTTTTAAATGCAGGTGTGCTTTTGTGTGTAGATTTGGTGTTTGTATATCATTGTAGCATTTTAATACAGGGGGTGTGTTTGTATGTAATGATTGCATTTGCGTGCAGGGGTGTGTTTGGATGTAGTGTTGTATTTTAAATGCGGATGTACATTGGTGGTTGATTGACATACATACTTACATAGACACACAGATACCCACACCTTGACACACAGATACAGTGACACATACACACAGATACACAAACTGACACACAGATACATACATACATATAAACACACAGATCATAATGTTTAGATTTGCAGCCTATTTTTTATCTGCGAGAGGGTGACTTTTTTGGGTTGCTGCTGGCTGAGGCTGATGTGGGTTTGCAGCAGCTTACTGCTTGCTGCTGCCTACACCCTGCAGCGCGGTGTTTAAAGCTGAGAGAAAGTGATGGTCTGTCACTTACTCCCAGTGGGCCGATATTACAGGAGCCGGTCCTGATCTTCACGGGGGCACAAGACCGGGTCCCTCCCACCCCGTGTGTCGCCCCCAGTGCAGCCGCACTGGTTGTTTTAAATATCTTTATTGGTATCATGTCAGAGGCTTGGTTTACAATTGTACTTTACCATAACATTTAGTTGCCTGCGCAGAGGCGGTTTGATCATATCTTTTGCGGCTTTATCATCTGACATATTCAGCGTGTTGTGTGTGGTTTTGCCTATGTGTGTGTGTGTTGTTCGGTGATTGTGGTGCGCATTCTGGTGCATGTTTTGGGTCTCGTCGCGTGTTGCAGCGCTTCTTGACGCATCTATTGGGTGGGCTCAGCACACGTTGATTGTGTTTGAATCATTCTTAAGGCTGTGTGTGGTTGATCATTGTATGGATGTGTGGTGTGAGTACTTGTTGCCTTTTGGGCGTCTGGGTTGCTGTCTCTTATTTGGCTTCTTTTCTGCCCATCCCCGTTGTGGCCCCTGCCGTCTTGTCTTATTGTATTGATTATTGTCGTGGTGTTTGCGGGGTCTGCTGGGGTCTAGTGGGTGGCACAGTGTCTGAAGTGTCAAGTGGTTTCGCATCCTTGAGTTGTCACTGTGTAGTTCCTCGGGTCGGGGTGTTTCCATTACTTCGGTCTTGCATTTGTTTTAAGTTTCTAACAGTTGTGTTAGTGTGTGTGTCTGTTTTGGCTTTTTGTCTGTTGTTTGGGAGGGGGGCCGTTGTAGCGGCTCGTACCTCATGTGATCGTGTCGGATGTTTGGAGGGTGTTTATGTTGCGTCGTCGTGTCTTGTTCGGTTCGTACTTGTCCGCTTTAGTCTCTCGGATTGTTCCCTGGTGTCTGTGTTGTGTGGGGTTGGTTATGTCATGCGGGTATCGTCTTAGCGGGTGGTTGCGGTTGTGTTATGTGTCTTCTTCTCTTCGTCTGGTAGTGTGGCCTTCTCTTGTGTCTGTGGTCGTTTGTTTGAGTGTGTTAGTGTGTGTGGAAGGGTCCTGGGGGGTGAGTGAGGGGGTTGACGGTTGGTGGTCAGTTATCTTGTCCTCTGCCGCCGCCCCGGTCCGCCCAGCCCCGGGGCCTCCCGAACCCCTGCCTGGGTCTGTCTTTCTCTCATTTGTTCTGTCTTTCTCTCATTTGTTCATCTCATGAAGGTGAGTGGTCGGTCCGGGAATAATTCGTTCAGTGGCTGCATGTTGAAAGGGCACTGGAGGACATCCTTCATGCGGATGATTGGCTTGTGTCCTATTGGGTTCGGGGTTGGGCCCATGTCTCCTGCCATGCAAGTCTGGGCCCGCTCCTCCCCTTGAGAGGCAACCCAGACTTGCATGGCAGCCGCCACGAATGGGTTGGTGATGTGTTTGTATGTTGTTTTAGGAATCCATGGCAGTGTTCTGAGGTCGCAATTGGTCGTGTCCGATTCTAGTTGGGTCCATGGTTTTGTGCCGCTGGCCACCGTCCAGCTGATGATTCTCTTGAGGTGTGCCACGTGGTAGTACTTTTCAAAGTCCGGCAGCGCCAGTCCCCCACGGATTTTGGGAAGGATCAGTTGGGTGTGTGCTACCCGGGGAGATCTTTCCTTCCATATAAATCTGCGGACTTCCATTTTCAGTGCCTTGAAGAACGATTGTGGGGCTAGTATCGGGACTGTTTGAAATATGAATAGCAATTTGGGGAGCAGTGTCATTTTGACCGCGTTCACCCTTCCTAGCCATGATATGTAGTAGGAGTTCCATTTGTGTAGTTTCTCCGTTGCCTTTTTCAGTATTGGGAGGTAGTTGTGCGTGTATAGGTCTGCTGGGTTGGGTGTAAGCCAGACCCCTCGGTATCTCATTCGGTGGTCGCACTAACGGTATGGGTGTTGTCTCTGGATCGTTTTTCTGAGTGCGTGGTTGACGTTCAGGTTCAGGATCTCTGACTTCGAGTGATTTATTTTGGAGGTTCGAAAGTCAGCCATATAGTTCGAATTCTGTCTGTATGGTCCGGAGGGAGGTCTCTGGGTTCGTAACCATGAACAAAAGGTCATCTGCGTATGCCAAGATTTTATGGTGCGAGTTTCCGATCCTCTTTCCTTGTATGTCTGTATTCCGTCGGATCTTGTTGATGAAGGGCTCCAGTGTCAGTGCAAACAGCAAGGGTGAGAGTGGGCAGCCTTGCCTGGTTCCATTGTGGATCTGGAACGAATCCGATAGTGCGCCGTTGATCCTGATCCGTGCTGTTGGGTTTGTGTATAGCGCCGTCACCCAGGTGAGGTATTTTGCCCACACGCTGAATTGTCGGAGAGTTTCGAACATCAGTTCCCAGTCCACTCTGTCGAACTCTTTTTCCGCCTCCGTTGACAGGAGTAGTACCGGTGTCCTTTGTGTTTTGGCGTGGGCTATGATGTTCAGGACTCTGATGGTGTTGTCCCTCACCTCCCTGCCTTGGATGAATCCCGTTTGGTCTGGGTGGATTGATGCAGGTAGCAGCGGCGCCAGTCGGGTCGCGAGGATACTCGCCAGGAGTTTAAGGTCCATGTTTAGCACGGATATCGGGTAGTAGCTAGGGCACAGTCTTTCCCCTCCTTCGGGAGTAGGGTGATGTTGGCCGAAGTGAATTGGGCTGTCGGTATGGCTCCGTCTTGGATGGAATTAAGTGCCATCAGAAGTTTCGGTGTCGTATCTTGTCTTGTAATACTGGAGGGGGAGGCTGTCTGGTCCTGGTGCTCTGTCTGTTTTTGCTCTCTTGATGGCGTACGCTATCTCCTCCGGTGTTATGGGTGCCTCTAATGCCTCTCGGTCTATGTCACCTGTTTCTGGCACGTTCGTGGCGTCCAGGTAGTCCCGGATGTTTTCAATTATGTTAGTCTGTGGAGCTCCCGGGGCTTCTCGACTGAGGTTATATAGATTCTGGTGGTAGGTTCGGAATGCTGTGGATATTTGGTCTGACCGGTGTCTGAGTTGCTGCCGTGTGTCTTTGATTTTTGGGATGTAGAGTTGGGTTTTGCGTTGTTTGAGGAGGTTTGCTAGCAGTCTCCCGCATTTGTCTCCGTGTTCATGTATCATGTGTTTGTAGTGTTGGTATGAGCATTGTATCGAGTGGTTAAGGTGTGTGGTGAGCTGATCCTGTTTGGTTACTAGGTCCCTATATGTTGTCGCATCAAGGGTGCGTTTATGTCTTGCCTCCAGGCTTGCTATGTCTTTGCTGAGGTTGAGGATCGCTTGTATCGCTGTCTTCTTGCGGGATGCGCTGATTGCGATGATTTGGCCTCGGATCACTGTTTTGTGTGCCTCCCAGCAGATCAGTGGATCGGTCTGACCAGGTCATTGGTAGGATCTCTGCTGTGGTGAGCAGCATCAAATTTTAATGTGGTGTGAGGAAGTAGTCGAGCCTTGTGTATGTTGAGTAGAAGGTGTAATTGCGAGCCGTTGGGTGCAGCGCCCGCCAGCAGTCCGCTAATTGGTGGCGGTGGAGGATGCGCAGTGTGTTCGCATATCTTGTGTGTGGGGTTGTGCTTTGTGAGGATGAGGAATCTTGGTCTGGGTGCAGTGCCAGGTTCAGGTCTCCTCCAATTATTAGGGTGCCTTCCGTGAACTTCATCAGGGTATTTAGTACGCGTCCAAGGAATTGGTGTTGTTTTGTGTTCGGGGCATACACGTAGGCGAATGTGAATGTTTGGTCCAGAATGGTGCCTTTGGTGAATATGTACCTACCTTGGTTGCATCTGATGGTAGCTTTCTCTGTGTAGGGGATGAGTCTAGAGAAAAGAATGCCTACTCCCTGTGTGCGTCTGTCGGGGTTGTTGCTGATGTATCCCGTTTGGAAGTTGCGGTCTTTCAGGGCCTGTGCTCTGCCCTCTTGAAAGTGGGTTTCCTGCAGGAAGGCTAACGACGCCTTGTAGTGTTTCAGGTCTCGCAGGAGTCTTGTTCGTTTCTCCCTGATGTTCAATCCGTGTATTTTGTACGAGACTATGCTTAGGTCCTCCCGCGCAAATCCGTTTGGCCCTGGGGCCGGCGGCCAGGGGGGACTATTGGGTAGGGCAGGGGATGGGGGGAGAAGGGTGGTGGGGACGCTGAGCTTGTAGGTGTCTTTGTCAGACGACGACCGTACAGATCAAAATGTTGTGAGTGGCAGTGGGTTCAATAAATTTGCCTTTTTGTATCCTGGAGTGCCTGGACCTTTCTTCTTTTTTTTATCTTTTGTATATTTGGTCCCTAGTACTGGCCTGGTTGCACCCAGATATATAATACTTGGGATTGAGTGCAGTTCCACATCTCTACTACAACTATACCAGAATCCAAAACCACTGCACAATATATTGTATATATATTTGTAGAATACACCCCCCTGGCTATGTAACTAAGAGTATTTTGACACTTTCCATCTAACCATTTTATCACAAGCCTAGGTCAAGTCAATTAATATTTTGTGGGGAGGGGTTCCACACATGTTGTATTTTGGTAAAGGTCACAGACCACGTGTTCAAATACTACAAACATCCCATATGTATATTCTGCTACTGTTCTTGAGTTCAATGATACCCTACATGTGTATTTTTTACCTTAACCTAGTCCCTAATATAATCCTTAGTCTAACCTATAATCATACCCATAAGGTAACACCTTTTCCTACCCCTAATCCAATCTCTAAACCTACCCTAATCCATTTCAGTCTTGATCCCACTCTCTAAACCTAACCCTGTTTACACCCTCTATTCCCACCTTTCAAGGGATTCCTTCTGCTGATGTCAATACTGACATCAGCAGAGGTTTTTCCTAACTCACACAGTGCAGAGGTCTCCGTAAGCCCTCGTTACTCTGTGATTGCAGCATGAGAGGAAGAACTCAATATTATTTACAGGGATGTTTTTAAATTTAAAGGACAATAAGCGCTGCTCATAGCTCTCCTGTCAGTCTGGGGCCACTAACGGTGGCCCTAACTGAGAGAGCGGTCCCCCAGGTATTGAACGATACAAAGGGGTCCCTATTTTGTAATGCAGGAGGTTGGGGTCAGTGATAGCAATACCAGGGGTTAGAGAGATCACTCAGCCGCAGTATTTAAAGGCCTGTGTACAGCGCTCACTTTAAAAACCACCTATCTCATCTGTCAGCCTGGTTTTAGGCCTTGGATAGGATCGAATGTCTCAATCTGTTACCTGTTTTTAAATATCTTAAACTGTTTTCTTCTTTGCAGAACAGCATGGTCTTGTCAGCTGCCATATTTTGCACCCTTATCGGTTTGCTTTTCTTTCTACATTTTGTGAAAATTGACCAGGAATCTTTGCTGGTTATTGGCTCTTTGGGGATTCAGATGACCTTGTCCTTTGCATCGGGCAAAGAAAGCACAGAATTTATTGAAATGCATAGAGTCAAGGATGTGGTCATTAATGAAGCCATCTTTATGGTATGTCACATTTAATTAAGTTTAGAATTTTCCGTGGGATTAGTAATGTTAAACAGTGTGTGATCACTTAAAGTCAAGGAATGTTATGTTATTAAAAAAGAAAAGTCAAAAGTAAATGATAGCCACACCCATTTTTAAATAACTACTTTTTATATTTCATTTATCATTTAAATATATATATATTTTTTACAATATCTATCTTTCTCTTAGATCAGCACACAGATTAAGGGTGTTCTCAGCTACTTAACTATATCAATATATAATTTCCTTAACTGTTTGCTGAGGATGTAACAGATTAAATGTACGGTCCACATTCAATAACCATTATTGCTTATTGTAGTGGTTATGGCGAAAGGAGTCTTTAGGTGCAGTCTCTCTACATTTGGATCGGTATAATTATACAACATATATTTGCGCCAAATATTAGATTTCATTAGAATGTACTTTCTTAAAATGTGTTTACTAGCCCCTCATGTCCTTATGCCGAAAGCTCATTGACACACAAATGTACTAATATTTAAAATGGACCTATTTAAACTGTTCAAGTGGTCTACTTCTAGTAAGTATTAGACATGTGCATGGAGAAAGTTTACAGTGTTTTCAGTCATTTGTTTAAAGAAAAAAAGTTTTTGTTAGGTTACTACGACTTGGGGTGATATATCTATTATTTTTTTGCAATAAACATATGCATTAACATGCAACATTCTACACACTTTGCACTGTGCACACTTCAGAAAGGACAGCGACGTTTATTTCTTTATCTGACTAAATGACCAAAAACTGGAATTTTCGGTCACTTTTGCAATTCTTCCAAAGCAAATGCACGTCTAGTACTTATTAATACATTGGGATAGAAAAATATCCAGCACTTATATAGACATATCAGTTACCAGTTACTCTTACTTTAAGTTGAGTTGTCTCTGTTATGTGCTGTATGCATAGCCATTGCTGACTGTAACCGACACAACATTGCTGACACAGTTGACCAAGGTGGCTTCTTTCACACTACTGATGCTCTGACGAAATAGGGAACCACCAATCCCCAATGTTACAATAGAAAGAACGTGAAAGGAAACACAGTAAGGAGCAGAGAGAGGTTCTTGTTTATTATAGGGATAGACATCCCCTTGAATACAACATTTCAGCTTCATGCTTCATTATCTTTCGAGACAGATTGTAAGTATAATAAGGTTTCCGTCCTATTAATACATTAGAAATACTATTTGCACCTTACGATGTTGGCTGTCATTATGCTGAGTAGACTAGCACAAATAAAGGGAGTTAGCTGATGCCATTATTATCATAATTTATATAGCACCAACACATTCTGCAGTGCTTTACAATTCTAAAATGGGAATATGAGACATCTAACAATATAACAGAGTCAAGCGGTGAAGAATGCCCTGCTCAAACGTGCTTATAATCCATGAGTGTAGGAATTGGGTGGGGGGGATGTTGCGTTTCAGATATGCTACTATGTAAGAAAGATAAGAAAAACTAAACATATGTTAAGTTTTATCACATTCTACTAATAGACTACATATTCAAAACAATAAAATGTATCACAACAGCAATATCAGTGAAAGTGCCATTTTTGCATTTTTCACACACACACACACACACACGGCACTTTCACTGACAATATGCTTGTTGTGATACGTTTTACTGTTTTGAAACCCTAATATTTCAGTTCAGCGAAGTCTCCCGAGTATGACAGTAACCCTGTGTACAGGTTTTCTGGTGTTTTCAATAGTTACATGGTCAAATATAAAGCTTGCCTTTCAGTTTTTTCACATTGAAATTTGCCAGATTGGTTATGTTGCCTTTTAGGCCGTATGGTAGCCCAAGAATGAGAATTACCCCCACGATGACCTTTTACAAAAGTAGGCAACCCAAGGTATTGCAAATGGGGCATGTCCAGTCTTTTTTAGTAGCAACCACAAACACTGGCCAAAATTGGCATTAAAATTTTTTTTTGCATTTTTCACATGCAAACAAATATGAACGCTAACTTTTGAAAGTGTTTGTGGCTAAGTAGCTACTAAAAAAGACTGGATATATCCCATTTGCAATACCTTGTGGTCTACGTTTGCAAATGGTCTGCCATCATGGGAGTAATTATCATTCCTGGGCTATCATTTGGTCTCAAAGGCAACAGAACCCATCTGGCAAATTTCAATGTGTATAAGCTGAAAAATGTAACATGCTATATTTGACCCTGTAACTTTACAAAACCATAAAACCTATACATGGGGGTTCTGTTTTACTTGTGAAACATCGCTGAATACAAATATTTGTGTTTTATTGCAGTAACAGTATTATGACATTCACAGTTTAACCCCTTAAGGACCAAACTTTTGGAATAAAAGGGAATCATGACATGTCACACATGCCATGTGTCCTTAAGGGGTTAAATGCCATGCATAACTAAAAAAATAATCTTAATTTCTCACATTCTTTATATTTTATTCATATTAAGTTATGTTTCATATATAAATATTTGATATGAAATGAAAGCCCTGTTTCTCCTTAAGAAAATGATATATAATAAGTGTGGGTGCATTTAATATAAAAGAGGGTAATTCTGGTTGAACAGACATATGGTGCAAATTCAAAGTTTTGTTTACGTTTTGTTTTGATCACAACTTGTACAACGGCCTCAATCCTTAAGGGGTTAAAGGGACACTCTAAATAGCAAAACAAATTTAGCCTAATGAGGTAGTTCTGGTATATAGATCATGACCCTGCAATCTCACTGCTCAATTTATTGTCATTTAGGAGTTGTCATTTTTGCTTCTGTTTATGCAGCCCCTTGGCTGTGACTTCCACTGCCTCCCTACACACTTCTTGTAAAGAGAGATCTAATTTGTAAAATGTATTTATTGCCAGTGTGTTTATTTGTAGGAATTGTTATCACCTGTTCAGTTAATAGCCTGCAGTGACCTCCTGTGTGTGTCAAGTTCAAATAAGGGAGAAAGAGATAAGCACGTATAAAGTAAACACAGTGTGTTGTAAAATGGAGGATGTGTGAAGCACAGTTAGGGAAGGGGTAGCTAGGTTTGCATAAACTTCTATTTGGGGGATGCAATGCTTATTCTAAATTGTTCTGGTAACCCTTTTAATTGTGTAATATTGATTCATACATAGTTGGTGTTTACATATGCTATTCCACTATTTTGATATTTTTCAGCAAAAAGTCATATATTACTTGTGCATTCTCCTTAAAGATCCTACTGATCCAAAAGGCATTTCAAGCATTGTACCAGTGTTTCAGGTAAGCTAATGTTTTCTATTGCTGAGACTTTGCAAGACTCCTCTTATTATTTTTATGAAGCTGTACCTTGTTTGTGTGTTTTGGGTCATTGTCATCTTGGACTGTGAACATCCTCCATCTTTCTGACCGAGGACATCAGGTTTTGTACCAAACTGTTATGCTATCTATCGTAACAAGTGCCTCTGACCCATCTGAAGAGAAGCAACCAACACATGATGCTACCATCACCATGCATCAGAGTCATTATGGTGTTGCTTGATGAACATTATTGACTTGTTGCCAAACATTAGGAAACGCTATGTCTCCTCATACCATAGCACATTTCCTAACATGGGTTGGACTATCTGAATATCTTGGTATAATTGAAATGGAGTTGGATGCTCCTTTTTATAAGACAGGTTTCTGTTTTTCCACCCTATCCTATCCTATATTTTCTCCTCATCCCCTCATTAAAGGGACTCTCCAGGCAGAGTATTTTACTCACCTGGGTCCAGCACCGGGAGCCTCGTGAAGCCGCGCCCCCTATTTCGTCAAAATGATGAAATAGGTGGGCGCGAGCAATCAGATGCTTCCATTTGAAAGCGTCATTGCTCCCTTGTGCGCATGCGAGGCTTTGCCGCACGTGCGCACATACTTCATAGGGCGGCATTCATGCCGCCCTCTGAAGTCCTACTGACAGACTGCTCGGCTCGCGGCCTTTGCCTGTCCCCTCTCCTCTGTTGACAGTGCCTTCTCTCTTCTGCACACGTCAGACGTATTTTAATATGTCTGACGTGTACAAGGCCTTTTTAGGGCCCTACATGATAGGAAGTCCCTCTGGGGGCCGTCTGAGCGACGGCCACTGAAGGTATTCTTATCAATCAATGTAAACACTGTATTTTCGCTGAAAATACAGAGTTTACATTAGATTGCCTGCAGGGAGCTATCGTTCTCACCTGAACAAATACATTAAGCTGTAGTTGTTCAGGTGCCTATAGTGTCCCTTTAACTTTGGAGAGTTGGCTTAATCTCTGCAACGTCTGTCTCTCTGATGACAATGCTTCATGAAACATCCAATGCCTTCAAAATTCTATTCTTCTCCTGATTGGTATTTCCCATCAATCAGTTCTTCGATTTTTTTTTTTTGTTAATTTAGTGGACCATAGTAGGATGCAGCTTTAATAATTCAATCAAATTCTACAGCATCAAACATTAATCAGAATCTTTTCTTTAAAGCAGCTCGGTTACCCCCATATCTAGAATCAGTCTTTATGACGGTGCAGCCCCCACATGGTCACTGGATTCCTGATTGTGATGTCAGTGCTGGGGGTCTTTGTAAACTATGCAAAGACCCCAGAAAGTGAGTGAGCTGCATTAGTGGCCGGTGTATACTACTTACCAACAGAGATTATTTAGAGAGTCCCCATTAGAACAGAGTGTACAGACTTATGCAATCAGTGTAGGATATATACATTTTTTAAATGTTCCGAATTATTTGTTTTTTGGAAGATTGTTATAGATGGAAAAAGTCTGACATTTTATGTTAGGTCTTCACATGTCAAAAACATGCAATTTTTATGAGGGTGTGTAGACTCTTTATAGCTACAGTATATTTTATGTGAACATTAGAAATCACCTTAAAATTTAGCAGGAGCAAATTAGGCATGTATGTAAACATTTTTTTCTTCTTTGTGTTTTAGAGTGCAAAGCCCAATCTGGACTGTTTGGTTGAAGTTTATAAGAGCTGCCAAGACATCTTATCCAAGGAAAAAAAATCTATTGACCTCTTAGACGTAGAACAGCCATGAGCAAACAACCTCCATTATAGATGTCTTTCAATATTCTACATTTTGAATGTGACTTGCTTCATATTTTATGCCATTGCAGGCTATACAAAGCCATCAGTTATATTTATGAGAACATGGAAACCAGTCTCAAAAATATGGAGCAGTTATGGACATTAATCATACAAATTCTATAATAATGTCACTTGATTATATTCTTATTTGTCTTAGTCACTGTTTTAACATTTCTTGGTAATAACCTGACATTTTCATCTTAGCCTGGCTGGGTTTCAGGTTAGTTCTGAAGAAAGATCACAAAGTCTATTTTTAATATTTTTCTTAAAAAAAAAAATATTTATAAATTCTTTTATAAAGTAAATGTGATTTTTATAAAGCCAAGATCCTGTTTTAGATGGACATTAATAGGGCTGTGAGTTGTGTAACCAAAATGTCTCACAAAGTAATGAAAGTATTAAATGTAAGTAGCACATATGCAGGGTTAGATATATTTTCTCTCAAATTTTAAATGATTGTGAAATAGACTTTACTAGCAAACTTCTGTCTGTGACTTATGTAAGTTTAGCTGGAGACCTGCGTGTGACAACTTTATTTAGTTGTATGCATCTGGACCTGTTAAAGGAACACTCAAGGCACTAAAACTGTTGCATCTTATTAAATTGGCCTTGAGTCCCCTAGCACTGACTCTCCATTTAGTGTTAAGCTGATTTTCAAGCAGATGAAAAAGTAATGAAGGTCCCTGGCTGCCCTTAGTATGGTCCCCAATGGAGGTATGGCTAAATTAGATTACACTCTACCTTCTTGCCATACCACTTAATAGCAGCAATGGGTGGTTGTTGTAGTATGAAAGTAGATAGCTGACACATACTCCAAGCACACCTCCCCGTGATGGTTATGGAACCAGTAGTGCCCTTGCATGCTTTAGAGTAAGTTACCAAACCATTAAGAACAATTTGACAACTTACCTGGGTCCTGCCACGCACCCGTTGCTGTCTCCACTACTGCCAGAAGCTTTTTAAACCGTTTAATTACTTACTTTGGAAAGGCACCACGGTTACTACAGGATCCACAACCGTAGGCTGCTTTAAATGTTCCTTTAACCCCTTAAGGACCAAACTTCTGGAATAAAAGGGAATCATGACATGTCACACATGTCATGTGTCCTTAAGGGGTTAATAAAAGTGGAAATTTACTTTCTTTATACACAATGTTTCACCTGCAATATGATTATCTGATGAGTAATATTTTTTTTTCCATGTGATTAAAACAGATTTATGAACAGGATATGAATAAATATTAAACAGATTACAATTTATTTGTATTAAATAAATTGTGAAAGCTCAGATTGGAGAAAGAGGTTCCCTACTTTTCCAAAATTGCAGGGACACTCTGAGCACTAATATAACTTTAATGAATTTTACCAGATTTTGGCCTCATTAATATCCTGTATCTTTTGCTCAAATCTTTAATGATAGCACAAAAAACTAAATGCACCATAAGCCTACCTCCTTAGCCACACCCCCTAACAAGGTATGTACACAGCTAATCCACTGACAGCACTGAGTGATCTGAACTACAAAGCAACATGCATTAAAAGGAAAGGACACCACATACAAGAAAAGGAAAGCTTACAGAATTATCTACTGAAGTAAGAATTCAAAGTGAATTTCAAATCTAAGGCTGCAAAGTCAAACTGGCTTTTGTTCTTAAAGGGACACCGTAGGCACTGTATCTGCTTCATCTCATTAACTGGTTATAGTGTCTGGAGTCCTCTGGTACCATCAATTCATTCAGCATTAAACAGTTTTTAATGCTAAACAAGAGTCCCAGGCAGTCCATCCCCTCTGTGCTGCTTTGGCTAATAAGGAAGTATTAGCCTGAGCAGCAATGGGCAGCTGTGATTGGCTGAGAGTGTCAGCTGACTGCTTTTAGCCTGTCAGAGTTCCAACTAACGGTATGAATGGGTATGACAACAAGGAAGTGTGTAATCTCTGCCTTAGCTACACATACAGAAGGGGCTGGACTGAGGGTGGCCAGGAACTCTTATTTTGTGGCATACTGCACAAATATGGTGCAACACTGAATGGAGGGACAGTGCCAGGGCACTCCAGGCACTATAACCAATTCAAAGAGATGAAATGGTTATAGTGACTGCAGTGTCCCTTTAAGTTTTCAATTAACTTTGAATTCTTGCTTTACTGAACAACCCTGAGGACAACTAAGGACATTGTTATGGCATGAGGGGGTGTGGATAAGAAGAAAGTTTTCTGCAAAACATTTTTGTGTAACAATGATAATGATTTGAAATTGCATTTATTTTGGCCTCAATGTGCTGTAATTTTTTAGCATTTCACGTACTGTACTTATATATAAAATGTATTTTGTTAGAATCTACCTATTTTATAGCGTTGCAGAATTTGCTGACACTATATTACATAGTTTCTTAGCTGAAAAGAGACTTGCGTACATCAAGTTCAGCCTTACTCACATATGTTTTTGCTGTTGATCCAAAAAAAAGGCAAAGAACCTAGTCTGAAGCTCTTCCAATTTTGCAACAAACTAGGAAAAAAAAATTCCTTCTTGACCCCAAAATAGCAGTCAGTCTCCTTGGATCAATTATATAAATAAGTGTAATAAAAGTTGTACTGGTGACCAGAGAGTCCATATTAAGTTCTGCTCGTGTGTTTTGTAAGATAAGAGCTCTTAAACGGTTTCTGGTTATCTCCCTCCGTAAAATAAATTTTCATATGGACAATGAGGAATGTGATCACCATTTAACAAAAGAGACTGCAGACGGATAGCTAATTTATTGAAAAATTGTAAATTATATAAAAAGTCACAATATTAAATCAAATATATACTTATAGCACAAACAAAACAAGACAAATTAGATTTTAAAAATTTTTCAAGTGCATAGAATCAGAAATTATTAATTAGACATTATATATAGAGTGGCAGTTATTAGCTACTGTGTTGTAGAGCTTTTTCTAACAGCTATATGAACAAAGTTTATTTGGTGAGGAGTTTATAAAGTAAAATATATCTAATCTGAATGTTGCCCTTCTTATGTTTGTGCAATATCTGGAAATTAAATTATATATATATTTTTAAATACTCCGATTAGTCATAAATTAAAACAAACAAAAAAAACCTTTTTTTTCTGAAAGTGTCACTGCAACAAATACATATCTTACAAGTGTGACTTAACAATTAATTATTTTTGGATGTGGACTGTGTATATTACTTTAGACACCATTTCAAACTAGAATAGTCACATTTCCTTTCCTCTATCTTTATCCATAGTTAGCTTCCCTGTTTGGCCTCAACACGTCTGACATACTCTGGAATCTCACCTAGGTAGCAAAGACTCTTTACCCAACCAATGCTGTATTTATACAATTAAAAGAGTAATTCCTGTGCATAGCACGTTTTAATAAGCTACTGAAATAATGTTTTCTCCTATGCCTCATTAATTACATGCACCATTAGCTGTAAGTTGGACATCCACAGAAGACAATGATATGTAAACATACCATGGCATTGCACATCTTCTCTGCATACCTCTACATTGGAGAAACTGGTGGGCTTAGGCTGCCATTCTCAAACCCATGCAAATACATTATATCCACCATACAATATTATGCACTATTAGTAGAAAGACAAAGAATACACTTTAGTAATGTAACTTAGCAATGGATTTGGTATTGTAACTCCTTTATCCAAATTAATTTCTAAAAGATAATGGATTGGCCACTTCCCATTTTTCTCAAACGGTACACATCCAATATACTACAACCGGGACATATAGTGGGAACATATTTTATTCTTTAATATTAAACTACAGTTTCTTCTGAGAGTCTTTAATTTCCTGTCCTATGTACACATTGAAAAACACAACCAGGGAGAATTGTAATAAAGTGAGCATGCAATTGGTTTCTCAAAAAGAAAGTCACACTGTCTAGTTAGAGAGACCCAATGTAATATAAATGGTATATAAAAAGGTTGTGCATCCACAACCAGGGTAGCTCCATTACTTTCACAGAGAAATAAAGACTTGGTTTCCACATTAATTATGAAGAGAACTGTTCATTAAAGTGTAAAAAATAAAAAACAATCATGTACTACTTTGTACATGAAATTGCTAGAGCTATGCCTGGCTGTTAAAAACTGATGGACAACACATGGCCCACAGTAGCAGTATATCACATGGTGACTTTTGGACTTTTACTAGGATGTATATTTACTACAGCTTTCTGAAGTTGAGTGCATATAATTTACACACACCAAAAAAATGGTAATAAAATGAGGTGCCTTAAACCCTGTATAAAGATAATGAGCATCCCTTCCAGCTTCAGTGCCCCAGGGGAACCTCAACAAATCAACTGAAGAGTCAGTGACTGTGCACATGTGCGGTACTTCTACAGAACCAGCACAAGGCTGCTTAATGCACAGACAGGTTGAGTGAAGCAGAGAGACACAGGAGATCCTCTTGAGAGGTAAGTACAAATATGGGCAAAGTTTTTTATTATTATTTATTTTAATAAAATCATCTTTTTCCTAAGGTCAGAAAAGGTAAAGGGTATAGTCTATGGAACACAATTAAATAACTTCCCTATATAGAACTTTAGTTTAAAATGTAACTAAATCTCTATATGGAAGCAGATGTGTATGTTTAGTTCTTCTACGAAAGCATATTAGGGATGAGAATTTTGCAGGTTGATCAATGCACTCAATATAAACTTAATTCTAATGCAAAGTTGAAAAACCAAGCCTTCATAGTAGATGTTGATTTGCAGAATAAATATTTAAATCAATAATTGTTCATTCAAATTAAAGGCCAAAGTAGCCGAATTACAAAAAAACATCTCTAAGTCAGTTATGCATTCAGTTTGGCCTAAAATTTGAAATGCTCCTTGAATTCTCACTTTAGTTAAAAACTATGCAAGCAGAATATCTTTTCAGATCTTGTCTTTGCAAAGTCACAAAGGTTATACTGTTAGTCCAATTCAATTTGAGAATTAGGTTCAAACATTAAATTGGAAGTTGGTTGTAAAACTAATCTGCATGTTTCATTTGTTTGGGTACAACCATCGTTGGCAATGTACATATCAAAATATTTCTAGCTGTGATATTCTATTCACTTATATCTATATTACTATATACAACAAAACATTACTCCAACTATTAAAGACTTTCAGTCAGTTCTTTTAGCATTTCTTGGAGGTAGAGATTTCTTCTCTTGCAATGGTTGGCACTGTATGGTGAGTCCAAGACACATATTTATTTTTTTCCCACATTTTATCAAGTTAAACCTGGATTTCAAAATAAATGATAAAATAGCCCAAGTTATTTTTACCTAAACTTTACCATTCAGATTCAATGCTATAAAATTCTGAGTTTAGTGGAAAGCCCCGACAAATTGTGTAAACTTATACTTGGCTGACATTTCTACTGAGATGTACAAAACATTTACAAAGTATAAAAACCCTGAGCATTGTCAATTATTACAACTTCAGTTTCTGTACATGTTTGTTTTTATTACTCTTTATTTTAAATAACTTTTAAAGGAACACTATATTTTTTAGGAATACATTATTCCTAATGCTATAGTGCCCTAGTCACAATTTAGGAAACCAGGCCAGTGCTGCCAGGGTTTAAAAAAAAAAAAAAAAAAAAGTATGGTTTCGCCTCTTTAGCTGAGATCAAGGTTGATGTTCTTGGCCAATGCAATACTTTCTCATAGGAGAAAGCATCGAGAAGCTTGTATGCATGTGCGGCAAAACAATGCTGCGTCAATCAGATGGTCTTCTGAGGTCATCAGACTAAAACTCTGCTATTTTACGGAAGTACCTCCAGTGGCTATCATATTGACAGCAACTAGAGGCGGGTTAACCCTGCAATGTAAACATGGCTGTTCCTGCACAGTGGCAATGTTTTCAACTGCAGGGTTAAAAGGGGGATACATGGCACCCGGACCACTTCATTGAAATAAAGTGGTCTGGTATAGTGTCCCTTTTTACGTATTTACAGTACTATATGAAAATCTTACATTTCTATAAATTATTTTTTTGTACACAGAATTTGGAGCACCAATTTATGC